CACACACACACACACACACACACACGCACACGCGCACACGCGCACACACACACACACACACACACACACACTCACACACTCACACACTCTCACTCACACTTTCACCCACCCCGTGCCCTTTCCCAGTTCGTATCCTCCCGTCACCGAGGTCTGAGGTTCTGCAAAAGCCGGTGATTAGTTCTCACACGTCCTCCCCCGTGCTTACTCATTATGGCGAGTGTACACATATGTGACTCCCTCCCGATTATGCTGGATGTGCTTGACGGGCAACCCGGAAACAAACCAGTCTAATTCAATACTAGGATATTGACCCCAATCAGACATGTCTGTTAATTCGCATCAAGTCGAATGCGACTCGGTTTTTCTCTTCCGAGGGGAGGATAGAATTCGCGGATGACAATTTTTTACCCTTTAATTCCGGGAAATGTTTTTGTTCATTCTTGTTAATGATATCTGAAGTGCGCCTCTATCCGTTTTTCCGTGGTGTTTAAATCATTGCGGACTCATTGGTTAGAGGACCGTTCGTTTCGTATGTCGCAGCCGATTACCAACATCTACTCAAGCCAACTTATGTGTTCTGATAAGTGTGCAGTTGCATTTATTCTCCCCCACCGGAGCCGATCCGACTAAACACGACCCGAGCCGTTCCTCTATTACGGGATGCCCACTATGGATGGGATCCCCCGATCGGGCCGATCGCCCGACTCGGTCACCTAAAAAACAACCATGTTTGTTTTCAGTTTCAGGAGACTGAGTCGGGCGAACGGTCCGATCCAGTCGGTGTGGGCACCCCTTATAAAGCTAAAATTATGTTCTTATATTTTTTTGTTTTGTTTTTTATTTTTTTAGGTGACTTGAGTTGTAGAACATGGGCGAGCAACTGTTTGAGGATATAAAGCACGTAGCTTGAATGTTTATGAACGTGTGTCTTTCATTGAATCGAGGGCTCTTTGGATAGATATAAACCTTCAGCGAGTCTCTGGGTTCCTTAGTCTCTTTACCCCTTTTCTCGCTCGCAAGTTTTGGAATTACACTGCGAGAAAAACGTATCACTGTGTTAAACAACGGATTCCTTACATCAGTCGATTATTACTTCTGTTTCTGGTGGTTGTGGCGTTTTGTTTTTAGTTTAAATTCTTGTTCAAATGTCGGAACGGGTTATCTTTGTGTTGCGTACGAACATTTTGATTTGTTCTTTTACATGTGTGTGGGTCTTTTTAATGTGAACGTGACTTTTAGGGAGAAAAAAAAAGTATTTAAGTGAAATATAAGGCATGCTTTTGTTTTAGACTAAAATTTGAAATCCTTTTGGATCTCAGCTTATTTGAGTAAAGATAACGGTTCAGGAAAATTGATAGGATACAATAATCTGCCTCTCCTGTCCCATTTACGACGCAAGTGCGTTTCCCTACTCTTCCACTTCCTTTTTTAAAATGTATTTTAAAAAAATGATTATTTTAAAGTTTCTTTTATTTCGTTGTTACCATATATTTAAAATTGTGAAGTCCCATATCACAGCTTTAGTCCTCACGGCCTGACACTGAGGTGAACCTCGAAGGAATTAAAAGACAAAACCATCTCCCCTTAAACCCCTCTCAAATTCCCTCCTTTGCTGCCTCGCTCTTCACGATGTCTACGCGGCACGGCGACTATCTGAATGGGCGTGGTAGTGACAAAGACCCGCTCATCGCATCTGAGCACGAAGAAGCCCACACTGCGGCTAAGTTTGCGGCTTTAAACATGGACGAGGGCGCCCGATGTTCGAAACGCATTCCATCAACACCCGGTGATGTTATTGAAGAGAGGAACACGTCCACCGGCCAGACCTCAAAGCCCTCCTCCTCCTCCTCCCTTTCTTCCAAGAGTTCTAACCCACCCTTAAGTGTGGTGGGGGTTTCTTCAGAGGAGGCAAAGGGCGACTCCACTGGTCACTCCGGTTTACGCGCTCCTCTCGCCCGAGTAGAATGCCAAAGTGACGGTAGTTCTTCGGATAGTACCATCAAGTGTTTGGACAACGTAGCAGTCGAGAGACGAAAAGGGAATTCCAGTGCCGCTGCAAGTAGGGCAGCATCTGCTTTTGTAGAAAAGGTGACAACTCTTTTGTCGCCTGTGGACGCCGAGAGGAACGGGTTTAAACCCAGGCCTTGTGAGGGCAGCCCTTCGTCCTTCAGTAAGCCCTTTTCCCTACCTTAATTTTTCTATGGCTGTTGGCGTTAGCCCATTTGTTTGTTCAAAATTTACTTGGACCCCTCCTTTTCCTTTACACACACACACACACACACG